ATCATGCTTGGGAGGGTGGAGGGACAGCACAAGAGGGGAAGACCCTCTATGAGGTAGATTGATTCAGTGACTGGGGTAATTGGGATGGGTGTGTCAGAGGCAGTGCGATTGGCACAGGATAGAGCAGGGTTTAGTGATTCGATGGCACATAACAACAACAACAACAACATTCCTCATATGTTTCAATGCAGTGTACATAATGTATCCCCTCTTTTCTTAGTTTCTCCCCAACCCCCATGTCAGTCCTGTTTTATAACAGTGGCATTATTCAGTGTTTTTCTTTTTGTGACCGAGATATTTCACTTGGCATAATGTCCTCCAGGGTCACTCATTTTATAAAACATTTTTAGTTCCTTGTTTTTCCGTGCTGCATGGTGTTCCATTGTGCAAATATACCAGTTTCTCTATCCATTCATTTGTTGATGGGCACTTGGGTTGTTTCCAGCTCTTTGCTATTGTGAACAAAGCAGCAATAAACATGGGTGTACATATAGCTTCTTGGGTGGCAGTTCTCGTTTCTTTAGGGTATATTCCCAGTAGTGGAATTGCTGGGTCAAATAGTATTTCTATTTCCAACTTTTAAAGAAAGCACCATACTGCCTTCCGTAGTGGTTGCACTGTTTTACATTCCCACCAACAGTGAACAAGGGTTCCAATTCCTCCACAGCCTTGCCAGCATTTGTTGTTTGCTGCTCTGTTGACTTTTTCTATTGTTACTGGGGTGAGACAATATTTCATAGCTGTTTTGCATCCTCATCATTTCTGATGTACTTGAGACTATTGTTGGAATCATTATGTCAACCTGGTTTAAGGTCTTCCTCTCTTTCACTGGCCCTCCACCATTCTAAGCATGATTTCCCTCTCTAAGGGAATACGCTCTAACAACATGCCCAAATGAGAGACGAAGCTGTGATATCCTTGCCTCCTAAAAGCACTCTGCCTGTGCTTTCTCCAAAACATATCTGGTCTTTTGGTAGTCCATGTGATGTTCAGTATTATTCTCCCATAGTACAGGTCAAAGACACCAATTATTCTGTCATCCTTATTTATTGTCCAGCTCTTAGAACCTTAGCAAGTGATTAAAGAGATCATGACCTCAATCAGGTGCACTTTAGTTCTCACACTGGTATTATTGCTCCTTAGTAATTTGTAGTTATCACTGACAGCAGACTCTCCCAATACAATATATGTATTGTGTATGTGTATCTCCTGACTGCTGGAACCAAGGGTGTTTGTTGATAATGGATCCAAGTAAGATGAAATAGTTGATAATTTCAATCTTTGATATTGTCTTGCTGATAATTTCATCTATCATGACATTGCCTATTGGTCCAGTGGTGAGAATTTTTGTTTTCTTTATGTTGAAATATAATCCACAATGAAGGCTATAGTCTTTGATCTTCTACAGCAAAAGATTCAAGTCCTCCTCACTTTCAGCCAGCAAGGTTGTGTCATCTGTATAACACAGATTGTTGATGAGTCTTCCTCCAATCTTTCTTCTTCAAAGAGCCCAACTTCCTGAATTATTTGCTCATAATACAGATTGAATAGGTAATGATACAACCCTGAAGTACATCTTTCTAAATTTTAAACCATATAGTGTTTCCTTGCTCTGATCACACAACAGTCTCTTGTCTAGGCATTGGTTTCACATGAGCACAATTAAGTATTCTGGGATTCCCATTCTTCTCAAACTTAGCCATAAGATTCATTTGTTCAAATGTGGATCATTGTTACGAGCCATACAGTCAAATGCCTTTGCATAATAAATAAAGCACAAATAGACATTCTTCTGGTATTCTCTGCTTTCAGTCAGGATTCATATGACATCAGCTGTGATATCCCTGGTGCTACAGCCTCTTAAACGCCCAGCTTGAACTTCTGGCAGTTCTCTGTCAATATATTGTCTAATCCTTTTTTAGATGATCTTCATCAATATTTGCTTGCATGTTAAATAAATGACATTGTTCAGTAACATCCACATTCTATTGGCTCACTTTTCTTGGAATGGGAACAAATATGGATCTCTTCCAGTCAGTTGACCAGGCAGCTGTTCTCCAAATTTTCTGGCATAGACTGGTGAGCACATTCAGGGTTGCATCTATTAGCTGAAACATGTCTATTGGTATCTCATTGATTCCTGTGCCTTATTTTCTGCCAATACCTTCAGTGCAGCATCATATGATACTTCCAGAAATATCTCAGTGTCGGGTAATTCGTTCTGGTACAGTGACTCTGTGTATTATCAACCATCTTCTTTTAATGCTTCCTGGATCATTCAATATTTTCCCCATAGCATCTCTCAATATTGCAGCTCGAAGTTTGAATTTGTTTTTCAGTTCTTTCAGCTGGAGAAATGCTGAACAAGTGCTTCCCCTTTTATTCTCCAATTCCAGCTCTCTGCACATTCAATTTAATACTTTGTCTTCTCAAGCTGCCCTTTGAAATCATCTGTTCAACTCTTTTACTTCAGTATCTCTTCCCTTTGCTTCGGCTTCTCAACTCCCCTCTAAAGCAAACTTCATAGTATCTTCTGACATTCATTTTGGTGTTTTCTTTCTCCTTGTCTTTGTAATAATTTCTTGTTCTCTTCATGGTTAATATCTTTGATATCATCCCATAACTCATCTGATCTTTGATCACTGGACTTCAAAGCATCAAAACTATTAATAAGATTATTTTTAAATTCAGGTGGAATATGTTCAAGGTCATACTTTGGCTCTGTGGACTTATTTTCATTTTCTTCAGCTTCAAGTTGAACTTCTACATGAGGAATTGATGGTCTGTTCCAGAGTTATCACCTGACCTTGTTTTGATTGCTGATACTGAGTTTCTCCAATGGTTCCTTCCACAAATATAGCCAATCTGACTCCTGTATACAGTTCTTGAGTGAGATCCACATGTAAAATGGCCTTTATTTTTAAAAAATGTATTTGTGATAAAGAAATCATTAAATATACAAAATTAGATCATTCTATTTCTAGCCTCACTTCTGTCTCCAAGTCCATACTTTCAGATTACCGTTCCTTCTGTCTTGTTTCCAACTTTCGTATTCCAGTCACCAATTATCATTAGTGCATCTTGATTGCACTTTTGGTTAATTTTGGGCTGCAAAATTTGGTAAAAATCTTCAGTTTCCCCTTTTTTGGCCTTAGCTGTTAGTGCATATATTTGAATAATTGTCATATATTTTATAAATACTCTGTACGTAATCATGACAATCAAAAATATCTCCAAATGTTCTCATATTTTCCTCTGTGGATAAAATGGATAAAACAAGCCCTGTTGAGAACCATTGGCCTAGAATGTTGTTTGTTCAGCATGCCAGCTTAATCTTTTATCAAAAGCACAACTCAAAGGATCAATAATCAATGTTTTTCTTCCTCCTACAACACACAGAGTAATCTACTAAAAGTAGATAGAACTCATATTTCAATATCCACTTCTGGCATATTTTTAAAGAATTTTCAGGGTGACAAACAGGAGAAAATGGGAGAGATAATTGGGCACAATTATCTGTTTTTCACTGGGCTTTGAGAAAATTCACATCTTGTATGTTCCTGTATATCCCTGGCTGATAAGTCTTCTCATAAAACCAAAGCTGGGGTCAGGCTGTGTTCACAGGACTATTACAGACTCAGCATGCTCGGGGCCCTGCTGTTGTCCACGTTGGTGGCTGGAGGTAAGTAAGACCTACCACCCAGAACTGCTCTCCCAGTGCCTTGGTGGGGCTGGGGATAGTGGGGCGCTTATCCCTCAATGGAACTCAATCCTGTGATTGCAAGAACTTTGGAGTGGAGTTCCAAAGAAGTATAGTAAATTACAAGACTCTATGGAAGTTCCCAGAATCTTTCCAGAACAAGGAAGGGTTTTTTTAATTATTTTTTTTAAATCCAGGACGAGCAACAAGGCAAGTGTAGGGTAATGGTTTGAGTTGTCATCCCTGAAATAACAACTTTCTTTTAACACAGCTCTCAGCTGTGGGCTCTCCACTTACCAGCCTGAACTGCAAAGGGTGGTTGGAGGTGAAGATGCAGTGCCCAACAGCTGGCCGTGGCAGGTGAGTCCACTTCTTCCATTCCTGCCTCCATCTATCCCGAATCACCCCTCTGCCCTTCAACCATGCAGACTATTGCTCTGGCAAAGAGGATTGGTAGGAACGTAGAGAAATTCCACTAATAAAAGGTATTCCTATGGCCTTGACTGACCTTGGGGGTTGGAAGAAAAGTGCCTTCTCCAACTTAAGTATGGAGCTACTCCATCCACTACTCATAAACACATATTCACAAACGTCCTTATGTTCAATCAGCTACTTGTTTACCAATATTGCTATCATTATTAGGTGCCATCAAGTCAACTATAACTCATAGTAAGTCCATGAACAACGGGTCAAAGCCTGTGCAATTTTATTCTTACAAATATACTGATATAAACCACACATAACTAAGCCAATATTCTTTATGTTAAAGAACCACTCAGTGCTACTAATGCAAATTAATCCTTAACTCTGGACAAATCAATGTTACCAGTGAAAAGAAATGTTCACTCATCTTAGTATACTGATAGCACTATTTTTAAGGTGTCAAGTGGGGCACCAGCACAAATTATTAGAAACTATGAGGGAGCTCTGGTGACTGAGTGATAAGAATTGTGCTGCCAACCCAAAGGCGTGCAGTTCGAATCTACCTGCTGTTCCATAAGGAAAAGAAAAGCAATCTCCTCCCATGCAACTCACAGCCTCTGAACATCCACTGGAGGCTCAGCTGTAAATTGGCTCCAACTTGACAGCACATAACAACCACATGATAGTGAGACTATCAAAGGAAAAGTGTGAAGTTGACTCTAACATAAGTAAACGCAATAAAATCTCTCATCTGACATGATTGTAATGAGTCATTGGAAAATTTGTATTGAGAAATTATTTTAAATTATACATTTAAACTTAATTTTTTTACTTTAACTTAGTATATGTAAACATAGAAAACTCTGGTGGCTTAGTGGTAATGAGCTACACTGCCAACTCAAAGGCACACGGTTCAAATCCAATAGCTATTTCTTTTTTTTTTTTTTTTTTATCTTATTATTTTTGTGTGAGTGTACCGTCAAATCAGATCTGACTGGTACAGGAGGAGATTGTCCCTTCTTCCCCGGCAGAGCATCTGGTGGATTCGAACCATGCGCCTCTGGGATTGTAGTTGCAGCTCCTTGCCACTAGGCTACCAGAGCTGCCCTTCCAATAGCTATTTCAAGGGAGAATTATGGACAATCTCCTCCTGTGCAATTAACTGTATCTGAAGAGCTGCTGGAGGGTCAGCTATGGGTCAGTTCCTACTCAATGGTACACAGCAACAACAACAAAAACATATGGTTGAAGTCCTTACCCACCTCTCTGGTGGCATAGTTCATTACTGCCAACCAAATGTCAGTGGTTCAAATCCACCAGTTGCTCTTGGGAGAAAGATGTGCAATCACCTCCTGTTAAGATTTATAGCCTCAGAAACCCAGTGGAGGCCAAAATGAGTCAGAATTGAATCCAAAGTAATGGGGGCTTGGTTTCTTCTTTTAATAATAGATTATATGTACACTTTCCCTTCGAAAAATTCATGCAATGCTTTGAAACACTCTGAGCCATCTGAGTAATTAGCCCTCCCAGAGCGCTGGAACTCCCCTCCCTCATCTTTTGGTTTCTCAAAGCCATAATAATCCTTAAAATCCTATTGGTCTAGTTTCTTCCAAATACCTAAGCTCCTTCCCACATAATTCCCAACTCTCCATTTGAACTTACATTTCATATAAGTTTAGTGTCTAATCAAAACAGCTATAATTACTATACAACCACCCCAGATATAAATAGGTCTGGGGACAAACATAACTAGTCCTGGAAGAGCTGGCAGTGTAAATAGTGGGACACTGAGCAGCCAGCCAGTGATAAGCTCATGTGTGTGTGTGTAGATGTGCGTGTGTGCACATGCATATGTGTATGCTTGTGTACATATGTCTATACACACGTGTGTGTATGTCTACATATGTGCTCACTGTTTTAGATTAGGTGGTCAGACAAGGTCTTAGGTCTCTTTGAAGAGACTTGTAGGAAGAGAAGAAGTGTACAATGCTGATTCCTGGAAGAAGAATATTCCAGGCAGAGGAACAGCAAATCCAAGTGCGCAAGGCAGAAGTGAGCTGGTTGTATTTGCAAAGTCACTTGGAGGCCAGTGCAGCCAAAGCAGATAGAAGTGGGACCAGTACGGTCAGAGAGCCCATGTAGGACCTTGAAAGTTTTCAGAGTGTTTGACGTTTTTCACCGTGTGAAATAAGGAGCAACTAGAGGGCTGAGCAGAGATGAGAGGTGATCAGACTTAGATTTTTAAAAGATCATTCTATACAAATGAAGCACAATGTACGTGACTTTTGTATGCAAACCAATATTTAAAAAAAAAAAAAGATCACTCTGACAACTGCATTGGGAAAATATGGGCTAGGGTCTGGGCCAGGATAAAAGCAAGGAGAACAGATAGGAAGGTGAAGTGAAACTCTCCACTAAATATGAAAATAACTGACCCTGGCAGGTCAAGAACAAAGAAAGAGTAGAACTGAGTACATATTGTGGAAGTAGAGCAGGCAGGATTTGCTGATGGGTTTGGGTAAAGGATATAAGAGAGAGTTGTTGTTGTTGTTGTGTCCTATGGTATTAGAACAAACTCATAGTTGGCCCTGCAGTGGGTTTTCAGAGGCTGTAAATCTCACTGGAGGTGATTGTCCATCTTTCTCCCGAAGAGCACCTGGTGGATTTGGACTGCCTGCCTCTGGGTTGACAGCACAACTCTTTACTACTAGGCTACCAGAGTGGAAGATGACAAGACTTTTTTTACATGCTACCAATACGATAAAGTGAGCCTGCCATTTATTGAGATGCAACAGAGCAGGATCTGGAGGGAAATTAAAAAAAAAAATTAAAAAAAGACATGAATTTGAGGGCTTGGTCCTAAGGAAATAACTCCCCAAAAGGAGGAAGTCCCAACAGATTATTTGCAAAGAGATGTTGAAAACAAAGTTGTTTTTCAACAGTGTCTTTATTCAAAGGAGCCCTGGTCGTAGAGTAATGAACTCTGGTGGTATTTTGCATAACATGCTAGGCTGCTAACCAGAAGGTCAGTGGTTTGAATCCACCAGCTGCTCCATGAGGAGCAAGAGGGTAAAGATTTACAACCGTGGAGACCTAAAGAAAGGTGCCCATGAGGCGGAACTGACTCTTTGGCACCGGGTTTGCCTGGCTCTTTATTTAGGGATCGCTGGTGATTTATCTTGATTATAAAACAATAAATATTAGATACCCTCACTTGTATAGAAAAAGAAAACCAGGTAAATGTGTAGAGACCAAAGTGACTAGTAATTACAAAGGATGAAAGAAAAAGGAGGAAGGTAAGTCATTGTTCATGGAATGCTCAATTTTGGTTTATGGTAAATAAAAAGGCATGCATTAAAGGTAAAGCTTGCACAGTCAATTAGTATGAACGAGGTCTATAATTTATACACTCAAAAACATAGTTGCCAAATGTTATTCATAACAATAAAAGGAGGGGAAAGCAGCTGCCAGGATTATTTATGTAAACCAAGAATTTCATGGGATTTGGTTTCTTGGTTTGGAGATTTAAGGTCATGGTTGCATGGAATATCCCTGCTAATTGGCCTAATGTGTTTTGCTCTTCTGTTCCATATGCTAATTTGTTAGGTAGTGTTTAGTCTTAAAAGCTTGAAAGTAGCCATCCAGAGAGTATTGTTCATCCATTGAATTGTTGAATTTGTTGTGTACAGTTTCAACAACATGAAAATAAATTTAAAATTGTTTTCATTTCTTATATAATTAATTCTATTGTAGTTCGAGTTAAAGTTTACAGAATTGGATTTTCATTCAACAATTCATACACATTACATTCCATGACACTGAATTGCCACACAGTGTTTCCTGTTTCAAAGCATCCATCTTTCCTTTCCCTTCCTGCCATCTGAGCTTTGTCATTCAGAAAACGGTTCCCTTTCAATCTTTAAGTTTGAGTGTTATAAGAATATTTTTAAAATTAATGAGGAGGGGAAGATGATTTCTTAGCTTTCAACCTGAGGTGCCTGCCCACTCACCTCACCCTGGTCCCAGTCCTACTCCCAGGGATGCTGAAGAGCAGAGGCCGAGGCCCAGCTCCGAGTGTCTGCGTTTTTCCCCAGGTCTCCCTGCAGTACAGCAGCTCTGGCCAATGGCGCCACACCTGTGGAGGGTCCCTGATAGCCAACAACTGGGTCCTGACCGCGGCTCACTGCATCAGGTAACTGTCTTCCCCAGGCCTCCAGCTTGTCCCCCACACTGCCAGGCCACGTGCCTCTCTAAAAGTTGGAACCCAGTTGGCACAATTTCCACTATATAAAGGAGCCTAGCAAATAGCCACTTGCCTTACCAAGAAACTAGCATCAATCTATTATTCATTCCCTGGTCAATACCTGATATTGACTGGGTGTTCCATGAGAAACACTGGCGGGAGGGGGAGACCTAATCCTGTCCCTCTTGAAGGTACTAGATGTGACCACTGAATCTGGAATTGAGCAACTTTGACTTTCAGAACAGAATTGTTTTTTGTTTGTAAGGTTTTGTATATAGACTGTTTTTTCACTAATGGAATGCAAGCTGAATTATTGATTGTACTGTAATTTTTGTTCAGTACTGTGGAACTCTGGTGGCCTAGTGGCAATAAGCTGCACTGAAATGTCAAAGGCACACGGTTCGAGTCCACCAGTTGCTCTGCAGGAGAAGGATGGGCAGTCTCCTCCAATGCTATTAACTGCCTCTGAAAACCCACTGGAGGGTCAGCTATGGGTTGGTTCCAACTCGAAGGTACACAACAATAACAACAACAACTGTGATATAAGCTTAATGGTTAGAGAGTTGCACTGTCAACCCACAGGTAGCTAGTTCAAATCCACCAGCTACTCTATGGGGGGGAATGAGAAATCTTCTCCCATATGATTTATGGCATCTGAAAACTCACCAGATCAGCCATGATGAATCAGTTCAAACTTGATAGCATTGAGCTCAAAGATTTCCCCCCCTATTAATTTGATAAATATTATGTGGGTCAGATACATCTCAATGGACTCTGGTGTCTCATAGGTGAGATGATTCCTTGAAAACATATTCATTTAAATATCACTTAACCCTGAAAAGTGCACCTTCCTAATAATCCTTAGGAAACTGTATATATCCTTGCAAACCCTAATTTACTATATAGAAGCTCAAAGAAACAAATGTTTTATGTAATCATTCTTCTAGGCTGTCCCACCTCATACAATGACCTCTTGTTGTTGTGTACCCTCGGGTCAGCACCCATTCATAGCTGCCCCTCCCCCAGATTTTCAGATGCAGTAAATCACGCAGCAGTTGATTATCCATCTTTCTCCCACGGAGCAGCTGGCACATAGAAACCGCGTGTCTTGGGGTTGACAGCACATTTCCTCACCCCTAGGCCACCAGAGCTCCCCTAGCAGAGCAGTATGTTGCCAATGGACCTTCTGGTTTACACAGTTACGCAAGTCTCCGCCCACATACTCACACAATGTTCCCTTAGGCAGCACGTATCTAACACTAGAACCATGCAGAGAAGATCAGCATGGCCCCCATGGAAGGAGGACACACAGAATTTCGTAAAGGGATCCAAATAACAGCACATGCTATGTGTGAGGAGAAAGCTTCCCAGGAAACCCCTGAGATGGATAATCCAAGTGGTGCTTAAAGGTACCACAGGAACGAAAGCGTTAATAGTCTAAAAGTATTATATTTTAGGGCATTATTTTTATCGTAGGAGTATGCAATGAGGGTTGCAGAGTGGATTATATTTGGGGGTAGGGGGTGGGGTTTGGGGAGGTGCGGGGGGTATTGTGTACCAATGAGGGAGTTTTTCTTTTGCTTTTCAAGGAGAGGAGCAAACAGGGGTGGGGGGTTTATGCGGGGGAGAAGGGTGCAACAATGAATGAATGGAATTCCAAAATCTCTGTAGATGTTCATTGAAATGAAAAATAAACAACCTAAATTAAAAAAAAAAAAAAGATTGCTCCAAGCTTCCATGCCATCACCTGTATAATGGAATGAACCAAAACCAGTTACCACTGGGTCAATTCAAACCCATGTGTATCAGAGCAGAACTGACAAGATTTTTCAATAGCTAACTGGTTTTGAGTCGGTTACCAGGATTTATTTTAAAATTGCTTACTTGGGGAGGGTTTGTAAAATAATGGGGGAACTTTTACTTTTCAAAGAGAAGAGTGTACGGGGGAAGGGGTGGGCAGGAAGAGAAATGCTGCAAAGAATGAATGGAAATCCAAAGTCTCTGTAAACTTTCATTAAAATTAATGGGAGGGGGGGAAGATAAAAAAATTTAAAAAAGAATAAAATTGCTTACTTGGGCTCATTCCCAGCATCAACTCAAGGCAGTCACTAAACCCAGGCCACTGGGTGAGGTATCCCTGCCCACGGGGGGTCAGCCGAAGCCGACCCTCTCTGCTCGTTCTTCTTTCCCTAGCTCCACCAGGACCTACCGCGTGGTGCTGGGCCGACATAGCCTGTCCACAGATGAAGCCGGCTCTGAGGCCATCGCAGTCTCTAAGCTCGTGGTGCACAAGAACTGGAACGCCAACAAGCTCTCCAACGGGTACCTCCTGCCAAGTGTCTGGGCGTGCTTGGGTGGTGAGGGGGCAGAGTCTGGGTGGGGGACTCTTAAGAGGCAGTGGGTTCAGCCCCACCCTGACCTCTGGGCCTTCTCAAGGGAGATGAGAAGGGGCTCTGACTACTTAGAGGTGGACCTGCCCAGCAGATAACTGGGACAAAGGTGTGAGGTGAGAAAGATAGATGCAAAGACGGTCAGAGTGGCCTGGGATACCAGCTCACGTGTCTGATTTCCCCTCAGCAGAATTTTGCAAGAGCTAAGGTGGCCCCTGATCCTCCCCTGGGTCTCCAGTCCCTAACCCAGGGTGCAGGGACCAGGGACCAGGGTTCATTTCCTGAACATCCAGGTCCTTTCATGATTGCTATTCCTGAGACCCAGGTGGTGTTAAACAGAATGATTATATAAAACAAACCGACCTTAGGTGATTCACCCTTTCATTCAATAAATACTTGTCGAGAACCTGCTGTGTTCCAGGCCCTGTTGCAGGCACTGGAGGAACAGCAGCAAAGGAGATGTATAAGCCACCTGCCCCACAAGTGTGACTTTAACGCCCAAATTTGAGCAGTAAGTTCCTTTCAGTTTAGAGGAACTCTTTTACTAATCCCATCAGAATAGGCACTCTCCATCGGCCAATGGTATCTGTACCTAGCGACTCAGACTTCCACCAGAAACTCTGCCTCCCAGCTGCCTTCCCAGTCAGTTTTCCACCAATCAGAGCAATTAGTGTTCACAATCAGATAATCCCTAATACTAGGCACAGTACTATATCCTTCCCTTTGTACAAGGCACTGTGCTAAACGTCTCCTGTGGATTCTCTTATTTACATTTTGTGCCAGTTTTTAGGAGGGAGATACTACTATCAATACTGTTTTATAGATGAGCAAACCAAGACTTTGCAATATTAATACACTTGCCAGAGATTATATAGAGTTAGAGTAACATGAAGGAAAAAGAATTGGTACCTTTGAGTTGCAGTGCTGGAGAAGAGTACTGAACATACCATGGACTGCCGAGAAAACAAATAAGTCTGTCTTGGAGAGAGTGAGACCAAGTTACTCCTTGGAGTCAAAGATTTTGAAGCTCCGTCTCACATACTTTGGGCACATGGCCGGGGGTGGGGGGACCAGTCCTTGGAAAAGGACATCATGCTTGGAAGGGTGGAGGGACAGCGCAGGAGAGGAAGACCCCGGGTGAGATGGATTGACACAGTAACTGGGATAATGAGGGTAGATGTGTTGGAGTCAGTGAGACTGGCTCAGGTTAGGGCGCAGGCTTCAGAGCTGTTGTATGTAGAGTTGCTATGAGTTGCAGGTGACTCAGTGACACATAAGAACAACAAAGTAATATTCAGTAGGAGTGAGACGAACTTAGCAGACAGCCTGGCACAGCAGGCTTTCAACACACTTTTATCATCATTGTCACCATCATGGCCATTGTTGCTGGTAGCATTTTCACTTTGCTTCTCATAATCCTCTCCTTCTCCAACCCAAAAGAGAGCAGGTCTGCAGCTCGAAAGGGGCCTCTGGGAAGAAGCAGCCCAGTCTTCACTTCAGATTTGCATAATTTACCCATGCATATGGCCTCTTCTGCAGCCCAAGATGCTACTCCTGGGTGGCGGCCAAGAGCTCCCTCTGCCAAACCTTCCAGAAGACGCCTCATCCTGGCTCAGCTGAGAGCAGGAAGCTGCCATGTGGCTGTAACACTCAACATCCTCTTAGTCAACAAACAGGCGTGAGGGCCTGCTGTTGTCCAGTGCTGAGGCTGGTTCTCAGGGGGATCCAGGAATCATGAGGCACCTTGTCCTCCAAGGGCTTGTCATCAGATGAGACACATACCCCAGGCAGTGGAGAGCCGTAAGATGTTCCAAGATGTGTCAGATGATGGAGGTGGGCATAAAGCTCGATAAGGGGTCTTTGAGGTCAGGAGCGCAAACCAGGACAGGGGGTCTGCCACAAAATGGACAGGCGTGTCCTGGACCAGTGGCCATCAGGCCAGCTGGAGAATGTAGAGAAAGTATGGGAGAAATAGTGAGGATCATGCATTTGAACTGAGAAAGCTGTTAGCTTTCAGGTCCTTAAATACATGTCCTATCATTGAGTGTCATTCCTGTTATCTCTAGATGCAGAACAAATTATCCTTTAAAAAGTAATAGCTTAAACCAACAATTTGTTGTTGTTGTTATGTGCTGTTGAGTTGCTTGCGACTCACAGCAACCCTATGTACAACAGCCTTGAAACCTGCTCTTTCCTGTGCCAACCTTATTGTCTCTGACACACCTACCTCCATTAACCCAGTCACTGAGTCAATCCATCTCATTGAGGGTCTTCCTCTCCTGCACTGTCCTTCCACCCTCACAAGTGTGATGTCCCTCTCCAAGGCAAGGATCCCTTCTTGCAACATACCCAAAGTATGTCAAATGAAGCTTCAGAATCCTTGCCTCCAAGGTGCAGCCTGGTTTCATCCTCTCTAGGATGAACCTGTTTGTTCTCCTGGCAGACCGTGGTATATTCAGTACTCTTCTCCAGCACCACAGCTCAAAACCAACAGTTACTTTTCATAATTATCTCTCAGTGCCTGGAAGATTCTCTGTCTGGGTCTTTCATGAGGCTGTAGTCAGATAATGCTTGGGGCTGGACCATCTCAAAGATTCCCCCAAGCACACATCTTCAAGAGTTCATGTTGGTAGTGAGGTGGGACCATTGTCAAGCTATCCACACGTGGTCCAAACTTCTTCACAGCATAGGATATTGGTTCTAAGGACCAGAGTGCAGGAAGGCTAGATAGAATCTGTGTCTCCTCTTAGGACCTAGTTTCAGAAGCCTCATGATGTCATTTCTACCATAATGACAAGAGCTCCTGGATTCAAGGAGCAAGGGCATAGTCTTGTGAATGAGACCCAAAGATCATGTTGGCCACGTATGCAAGGTAGAAAAGAGAAGAGAAAGAGTGAAAGCAAAGAGACTTTTGATCTAAGCATCTCCTGCTAGTTTCTCAACCAAACACAGGAAGTATGTGTGAGGCCAGAAATGACTGAGAAGCCTTACTGAGCTTGGCCAGAGGCTCAAAAGTCTTATCAGCACAGCACTCTGAGCAACCATGACCAACTCATCAGAAAGGACCGTGCAAGGCAAAGGCAACTTGCCAACCTTATTTTCAACCTTCTCCTAAAACAGCGCTTAAGCAAACTACGGACTTCAAGTTTCTCCAAGATAAGATGAAGTCCTGTGGGGTTTACAGCTCCTTCAGGATCTTACAGCCTCGGGACGGCTGAGGAGGGATTCAATACCTCCAGTTGAGGCTGTAATCAGAAATAAAGAAATAAATGGGGCTGGAAAAGCCAGCATTCTCCTTATGCTCTGCCTCTTTCCTGACCCAGGAATGACATTGCTCTGCTCAAACTGGCTAAGGCCGTCTCCCTGAGTGACAAGATCCAGCTGGCCTGCCTCCCACCTGCTGGCGACATTCTGCCAAACAACTACCCGTGCTACGTCACTGGCTGGGGAAGGCTACAGAGTGAGTAGGAGACATGATCTCCCTCAAGACCTGGGAGGGAAGGGAGAGGATTTATGAGCAGGGTCTTTACCCGCTCAGCACTCAAGGTCTTTGCTGTTGTTGTGTGTCACTGAGTCAGAACCAACTCTTAGCAGACCTTCCAGCTCATTTTAAGAGGCAGCAAATCACACAGGCGGAGACTGCCCAGCTTTCTTCCTCCTAAGGTCTTGGGAGGAAATGAAATAAATTTCATGACTACAGATTTGGTACAGTATTTTCACCAAACCAGAATATCTTTCCAATGTACACAGGGACTCACTGTCATTTGTATGAGGTGTTTATAATTTATGGACCTGGCTAAGCAAAAAGGAGAATTTGTTATAAGGATTTGTTGTTGTTGTTGTTGTTGTTAACTTTTGGTATAAGGGTCCAAACACAAAGTCAGAGATGAAGCAGGTTTCAGGAACAGCCTCAGATCAGAGTCTGAAAGGCTAGAGGTCTGGGAAACCTTTTCTCACTATCAGAGAAGCTGTTTCATTCTTCTCCATGAAGAAGAAAATGGCAGCTGTTGCCACTGGCTCCCAGGTTTACTTAGTGTCTCACTGGGATCTCTTAGTCTCAATCCTAAAATCTCAGGAAAAAGAACTCATTGGTTTAGCTTGAGTCAGATGTTCAACTCTGAACCAACAACCAATGAACATTGTCCGTCAACAGTGAAGACACAATATATGCAAACATGGTGGCACCCACTTCAAGTCTATGGATGGTAGGAAGTGAAAGAGGCCAGAAAGAGAGGTGCTGGGCAGAAAGCACACTGGTACCACCTTTGCCCTCAGCAGACTCTTGGCTCTATAGCCCCTTCCCTCTGATCTTTTGCAGCCAACGGAGCTCTTCCTGACATCCTGCAGCAGGGTCGCTTGCTGGTTGTGGACTACGCCACATGCTCCAGCGCTGGCTGGTGGGGCAGCAGCGTGAAGACCAACATGGTCTGTGCCGGTGGTGATGGTGTGATCTCCAGCTGCAATGTGAGTACAGAAAACCAGGTGCCCACTTTTCACAGGGAAAGGCTGGGTATGGGGAGAGTGTCTGGGCCTCAGAGTGTCCAGCCTCCCCGCTCCTGGCAGAAGCACTCAGGAACAGTGTCAGATGCTTCAACAGCTGGTCTTCATCCCTGTAGTGTCCAGGGCAGATGCTTTGCGGTGCTCCTCATCATGTCGATGCCCCTCACTGCCGAGAAGTTCTGTTGGTCTCATCAAGGTCTCTCATTGCAGTCATTGGGAGGGAGCCACAGGGAAGGCTTCTCTGAGTTACTGGTTGCCATTGTTGATTTCTACTCATGGCAACCACTTATGTCCCACAGCATTGTTGTCCTTGTTGTTGTGTGCCATTGAGTAGGAACCAACTCACAGTTGACCTTTCAAAAGATTTCCAAAGGCTGTAAAGTACACAGAAGATTGTCCATCTTTCTGCTCAGAGCACCCAGTGGATTCAAACTACCTGCTTTTGAATCGGCAGTGAAACTAGGACCCCCATGGCTCCCTACGTGTCTGAGAGTAGAATTGACTTTTCTGACGTAGATCACCAGGCCCTTCTACTTAACTGTCTCCGGAGGTACTCCAACTGCCAAACTTTCAGGATAGCCCGTTCACTGTTTGCACCACCCAGGGCCTCCATTCTCTGGGCTAGAGACCTTCTAAGTGGAATGCTACTTTCTCTGTTCAACTGATCTCATTAGAGCCCCAGCGTGTCTCCTCAAGGAAGCTTCCCCAGAAGCTGTCCTGGAGACAATGGCTTAACCACAGCCTTGCTGGTAGACGGCAGCAGAGGGGACAGAACACGAGGATGCTCAGTTGCTAACAGAGAAGGGTTTCCACACGCCCTGTAGACCGTATCATCATACCCAACACTCTGCCCTCTGAACCTGACTGGCTGTAGGAATATTTCCTCATGAGCACTGATTGGCCTTCATGGTACTGCCTTACTCGTCAGAACTGATTGGTTAAGAACTTAAGGTCTTCACTGTGGGATGAGATCTGAGCTCCTCCACTAACTCCCTGTTCAACCTCAAACACATCAACTGCTGGCAGCTTGTGTCTTTTCCTTAGCAGTGAAATGACACATACTGACAACACTTACCTCAAAGATTTTTGTAAGGATCACATTGATCACTTTAAATGAGTGAAGGCATATAAAGTGCTTGGCTCATTTCCAGGCTCCCATAGAGACTTAAATGCTAGCTCTCAGTATCATGGTACCAATCTTGAGCTGGGACCACTAAGGCCAAACTCAAAGGAGATGACCATACAGAGTAATATAAATACATTGAGAACAAGCAAAACATGGGATTTTACTGAGCAGGCCCCCCACCTCCTACCCCACCCAGGCTCTGCTGACAGAACTCTGACCTTCCGTAGGGGGACTCCGGGGGACCACTGAACTGCCGAGCAGCTAACGGTCAATGGGAAGTGCACGGTGTGGTCAGTTTCGGATCCTCCCTTGGCTGCAACTACTACCACAAGCCCTCTGTCTTCACCCGGGTCTCCAATTACATCGACTGGATCAATACAGTAAGAGCTGGCAATTGTGCCCTAGGTTCTGTGGGCACCTCCCTTCTCATCTGGTCACCAGGGCAAAGCCTGTTTGGCACCTGAGGATTCCCCCCTTCCTGAAAGCTAACCAGGGGTCCCCTTGAGGAGGCTACAGACTTGGACAATTTCTGATGAGTCCCCCATGGGCCCCAAAATCTCTGTGTGGGTAAAGTTGAGTGAAAAGGGACATAAAGAAGAGCCTTAACTGAAGTGGTTATAAAAAAAAAGGGTACCACTCAAAACATTAGGAGTGGGGTTTGGGGGATTAGTATTTTATTTTTATCTGTTTAGTTACTATACCTCATCATTTAGTATTATAAACACTTCATCGGTAAAGCCCCAAGTCTGAAGGTTCAAGACCTCTAGAGCCTTAATGATTAGAAATCAGGCCCCAGAGGGACACTCCTGTTTATGAATATTTTTTTAAATGGTGCCAACATTGGGAGCAGACAGTGCTATAACAGGAAGTGGGAGCAGGTACAATTGGAAGAATTGTCACAAGATGCAGTTTCTAGGGGATGGGGGAGCTGTCTGTTAGGGATAAGGAGAAGGAAGAGGCCACTCTATGCTGATTTGGGTAAATTTTTTAACTTACCATGTTAATTGTGGTAAATACATGTTTTGTTATAAAACAGTAAGCAGTTCACTAATCTTCACGTCAAGTTCAGCGATGTTGATCATGTTCATCACATACAATCATCACCCTCATCTGCTTCCAAATGTCTCCTTCACTCCACAGAAGTTCAGCGTCCTGGGGGACCTTTTTAGCCTCACTACCTGGCCTTGGCCCAGCCTCAGTTTGCTCATCTGTAGAGTGAGACGTGGACTGGCCCAGTGCCCTTAGGAGTTCTAGGAGGCATAGCAAATAGGAGTTACACTGCTGTGGCAAAGCCCCAAAAGATGGGAAAGTAGACATCTGGCTTCATTGTTTGAGCATTGCTAAATGCAATGAAACTGACACAGTGTTATGAAATCAAATATGAAACCACAGCCCCGAGCATGTGGTCACAGGGAGAAACACACTCTCAAAACTAGCAAGTGGGCTGCTTCCCAGCTTCCCCGTCAACACACGCTGCTCCTTCTCTATCTCTGTCTGCTGGTATTTCTTTGCCAACAAGTGGGCAAAGGGACCAGAGCCACCCAAAAAGTTTACGGGAGAGAAATGTGAAATCAAGATGAGAGAGGCTATTCATTAATTTGACAGATTATTAAAAAAAAAAAATGGAGAAGTCTCAATTCGGTTTATGCAGAAGAAAAGCTGAGTCTAACTCTTGTGGTGCCACCGGCATGGCAAAGGAACCAGGCCCAGCCTCCCTGGGTGGAAACACGCCTGGGACCTTTTCATAGCCAAGTTCTAGGATCCTTTTCCAGCCCCAGCTGCCGGGTGAGTCACCACACAGCTGGTCCCAGCAGTACCTGGGGGAGCCCAAAGCAGAGGCCTGAGGCAATTGTCCTGATTGGTCGTCCTCAGCATCAGCTGTTCTGAGCCACACACACACAAGGACAGCACAGGCCAGGGTCCAAAACCATGGCAGATAGCACAGGGGATCAGCGGTGAAAGTAAGCCTTGCCAGGCAGCTGGGCAGAGGTCCTGCCATGATGGGAGCGCAGCCAGGGCAGGCACGGATGCCCAGTGTTGGCTTCAAGGAGTGGGTGAGCCAGGCTGCCACCAGCTGTCCTCTGCGGAGGCGGCCCCTGGCAGCTGTGGAGGAATCAAGACAGAACCCTGCCGTGGTCCCAGTGCTGGGGCCCTCATGGGGTGAGGCACAGCTGCAGCCCTGGGGGTGTTTGGGAGCACCTGCCTGCACGGACCAGACAGGTGACAGACAAGCCAAGGCCAAGTAGCTGCCAGCAAAATGCACGAGCAGGAAACTGACCAGAGACAGGTGGCCAAGGGCATCTGTTCCTTCAACAAATGCTTACTGATTGACAGTAAAACAGAAATCTCCAGCATTTACTATTTTGGGGGGTTTGGGTTTTATTTCTCCAGCAAGTATGTTAAAACATACACACAACAAAACACTGAGTCATTAATTAATGGATAGAGTTTCTCTTCAGTGATGGAAAACTTCTGGAGTAGTGGCTATGGTTGTACAGTAACGTACTTGCCACTGAATCGTATGCTTTAAAATAGTAAGGCAATCTCACACTATATGTATTTTGTACCAACAAAAACATTAACACTCAAATATTGTAGGCATGCATCAAGCGAAAAAGAAACACTCCCCACTCATTCCCTGCCTTCACCTCCACTCTCCCAGATAATCGTCAATCTCAGGTCGGTGCATGGTCTTTAGAACTTTATTTCTGTATTATGAGCACAAGTCTCCCAACCAAAAGTAGGATCTTTCACTCTTCATTCTGCAGCCTGGGTTTTCTCTCCCACTTCGTAAGCCCTCTATCACACTTTTTATGACAGAACACTCCCGTCATTCTCTCAAACCACTGCAGGGTACCCCGTGCAATAAGGAATGACAAGTTAATGCATCCCGGTTTTCATTCTTCCTGCGGTGCACATCCTTGGACATAGAGGCTTGCACACTGACTGCTCTGAGTGTATCTGCTATTTTTAAAACACAGTGACCATTCAGTCAATTCCCATGAATGGCGACCCCACGAGTATCACAGAAGAGGGGCACTCCGTGAGTTTCCAACGGCTGTGGAGTTTGAGAAAAGCCTTTTCTTTCAAAGTGCCTCTGGGTAGGATTCAACTTCCAACCTTTCCATCAGCAGCTAAACAAGCCAACCATTTGCACGAACCAGGGACAATCTTAAAAGTGACATCACCAGATTCCAGTTTTAATATATTAAGACATTTAACAGGTAATAACCAAAACAGACTCTGAAAACAGGTTAAACCCAAACCACAGGGGTGTGTAATACATAAACATGCCCACCTGCCCATTTTGCATATACCTTTTAGGAGTTCGCAGACCCCTGGAGCCCAAGCAGGTCGGTGGAAAGCTGGAGTAACAAGCTTCTTCTCATAGGAGCTGCCTCAGCCCGGCTGCCTGGGATACTTGAGCAGCTCACCGCTGAGGAGCATAAACGGAGGAAGCTGTTGGGTTCATTTGATTATTTTCTTGTTTGTGTCCCTGCAGGTAATTGCAGAGAACTAAACCAAAAGAAGACTCCAGGACTGTTCTCAACTTGGAACGGTGACTGAGGGGAAAATAAAGTGGCAACTACATCAATCATTCCTTGGTGTGAGTCTTATTAGCCAACAGCCCTAATGTAACAAAAAACCTACAACGAACCCGCTGCCAAGTAGTTGATTGTGACTCATGGTGAGGTGACCACATGTATTACAGAAAGAACTGTTCCACATGGTCCTCTTGGCTCGAAGCTTTACAGAAATAGGTCACTGGGCCTTTCTTCCACTGTGTAGTTCCCAACTAACCTTTATATTAATAATTGAGTGCAAAGTGTACCACCCAAGGTCTTGGACCTAATGTCTAGGGTCCCTAAAAGCAAAAAACCAGCAGCGGTCAGGCCAGCCTAAAGGACCTCAGGGACGGGGACGGAGGTCCCAGGATCGCCCTGCGGTCTTGGGGTCCTTCAGTGAATGAGACCCTTGGGAGGCACAGGCCAAGTGGCCCAGGACCTGGGTTGTGGCCAGCTTCTCCACAGATTAACCCTCCTCCCTAGGGCAGGATTCATACCCTTCACTTCCCTAGGATGAGGTGGGAATCAAGCTCTGGGGAAATGTTTGGGAAAAGGCAAGAATTACCTTTGCAAGGAAGAGTTTAAGATTAGGGGGAGAGAAATGAGCACAAGAGAGTCTAACCCAAGATTTATTGTTAAGAATACAACACGGGGAAATGAGCAATGTTCAATACTTCATTTGGAATTCACAGACTGAAGCTGTTCAGCCGCTGGTAGCACCGAGCCTGCTGATCTGAGAGAGGCGTATTTCTTTGTTGCATAAAACTCCTATCAGTCATGGCTCTTAAGCAGAGGCAATTTTGTCCCCCAGGGGACATCTGGTGATGTCTGGAGACATTTTTAGTTGTCACAACTCGGGAGAGGGCTACAGGGAGGGGGTAAGTGGAGGGCAGGAATGCTGCTAAGCATCCCCCAGGGCACAGCCTCCTGCCACAAAGCATCCAGTCCCAGATGCCAACAGTGTTGAGACTAAGAAACCCTGCTGTCGGGGAAGCAAAGGGGCCCCAGGCACAGGAACCAGTCCACGAAGTGGCCGTGAGGAAGAGGCCATGTGGAGTCCACACACCTGGGCTCCTATGCCTTCATCTTCTCCTTCACATCCAATCTGGAATCTTCTATGCTTTCATGGGGAAAAGCAGCCAGTTCACAGGCTAAGAAATCTTCAAAGTATGGCAGCCACAGTCACCGGGACCTAGGAGCCTGAAGCTAGAAGGTTTGGGGCTTAAAAGGGAGGCAAGATGGGGAGCTCTGCTTCATCAAGTTTTAAAGAAAAGTTTTTTCCGGAGGAAATTAAAACAACCCGGCATCTGCTTGTAAATTCCTTTCTCTGAAACAGCATTGGCAACCTGTGAAGACACAAGCACAGAGTGGTCCATGAGTCCTAGTCATTCCTGTGAGCATTCAAAAGGGGAACTGGAAAAAAAAAAGACAAAAAAGAGGAAAGAGGCTGAGAAAACGATCAATAAACTGGCACTGTGTAGAAGTAGAACTGACCCAAGCCAAATTCACCGCCATCAAGTCAGTCCTAACTCGGGGGGGACCCTCCATCAAATTCTGAGACTATAAATCTTTACAAAAGGAGACTGTCCATCTATCTCTCCCACAAAGAGCCTGGTGGATTCGAACTGCTGACCTCACAGTTAGCAGCCTGACATATTACATGATATACTACACCACCAGGGCTCCTGGTCAGTCACAGAAGGACAAATATTGTATGAGCCCACCTAGATGAAATAAGCAAACATACAGAAATGAAAGATTAATGGTTACTGAGAGGGCAGAAGTTTTTGCTTAGAGGGCTGAGAGTTTATGTTAATGGTAGAATGATTTAGAAAAGGTTGGAAAAGAACGGTTACAGAATGTCACTGAACTGGAAATGTGGGGGGTGGGTGTACTGGTCAATGTTTTGGTGTGTCTATTTTCATCAAAAACACCCACAAAAGAAAACAACAAATCGTAGCTGTAAGTGTCACCACTATACTGAAGGGCTCAAGAACAATCACTTCAACCTAAACTTTTTGAAAATTCAAAATTACACTTCAGATGGTCAAAATGTCTGTTTTTCTGTTAATTATGTCTCACTATCATGAGTCCTGGTAGTTTGGAGTGCTATGTGTTGAGCTGCTAACTGAAAGGTAGGCAGTTTGAATCTATCAGCCACTTCAGGGAGAAAGATAGGCAATCTCCTCCCATGAAAATTTATACTCTAAAGTCCAAGGAAGGGAACTCTGGTGGCCTAGTGGTAAGAATCTGAGCTCCAGTCTGGAACGCATGCAGTTCAAATCCATCCCCTGCTCTGTGGGAGAAGGATGGACCATCTTCTCCTGTGCGATCACTGCCTCCGAAAACCCACTGGAGGGTTAGCTATGGTTTGGTTCTGACTCGATGGCCCACAACAACAAAAAGGTCCAGTAGAGGGTGCCAGGAGTTGGAGTTGGCACAATGGCAGTATATTTTTGGTATGGTTATCTTATACAAATAAAAAATTTTCACAAGGTTCAAAGCCAACTGGGAGGTTTGCTTGAAAAGAAAGAGATCAGGACCAAGAGGGGAATACAGTACCTAATCCCCACCATCCTCTCCCCATCCCTTAGGGCCCCAGGCCTGAGGGCCCCACCATAGAGGGTGGAATTCCTGCACAGAGTAAGAAAGACTCAATGTGTTGATGCCCCCAGGTAGAAGAAGCTCTCGACTTTTGGACACAACTGCTTGGGGTCAGGCTTTCACATGAGGGCTATGGTTCTACCAAGCCATCCTCCATCAGTCCCTCAGAGGGAGGTTAAAGGCAGGATCATGGTTCTAGGAGATCAAGACTCTATGATGACACAGTGGGACAAACGTCACCACAGATAGTGGTGACCTAAGAGAAAGGGCGCCAACTCCCACGGCAAATCAAGCTGCAGAAGCAGATGAGGATTCTCTGTCTTCTGTTTGACTCTGGTCGGCTGTGTCCCCAGGCTGGGTTGGTGCCCTGCTCACTCTCTCTCCTACTCTTCCTTGAGAACACCCCTTCCCAGCATGCAGGAAGGCAGCTCTCACCCTGAGCAGGAGGTGCTGCAGGTCTTCTGAGTCAGCCCACTGCTCAAAGACTCTGTCCAGGGTTTCAATGTACCAGGAGCCACTGCTGATATTCCTCCAGGAGACAAAACCTGAGGAAGGAGAAAGGTTGTTTGTGGGCCAGGGCCCAGCTGGGTCACCCCTCCTCAGAGCCTGGACTTGACAGGTTCCCCCATATCATCTGGGCCTTTGTCCCCTCTCTGATCCCATTTCACCCTCAGAACTACCTTGTGACTTTGGTTAAAGTTCCCATCTTACCAACCAGCAAACCGGGGCTCAGAAAAGTCAGATGGTTCCCCTCAGGTGGCAGGTGATAGGTATTGGGAAACTAACACCCACAGCACCTCCTCTACTGTGCTCCATGGTGTGCCAGCCACCTGTCTAACCCCTGAGACAACCCCTGGAGTATGATTATAGTTCCACTTTAGAGTTAAGGAGGCTGAGGCAGGCCAAGAACCAGGGTGATATGAGGGAAGCACCCTGGGCCAGGCTCAGTCACTGGGATGATAAGAGGCAAAACGAGGACTCAGAAACAGGCCTCTTCTTCCCTCCCACGGCTGCCGTTAGCGCAGGTAGGAGCATGCACTGGGAGGGGAGAATGAAGGCACTCACCTGGGAAGGTGGAGTAGGACACGAAAATGTCACTGGGGGTGGGCAAACTAGCCACAGCATCCGGCTGGTCAGAGCTTTCTGGACCTTTCTGGAATGGGGCGGCATCTGACTCCACAGTACTGTCAAAGGCTCCGTCTTCAGGGGAAGCAGAGGTCACTTCAAACCCACGGTCTTTCTGCTCTGTAGGAAGTAGGAAAAAAACCCACCAAAACCAAACCAAACAATTTGTCACTGAAACATAAACCAGAATTCCTTTCCTCAGTTCTTGGCGCCACCCAGTCTGTCCCTAGCCTAGGATGGTCGGATTACCTGGGAAGCTGGGTCTTTGTCAGGCAGACATGAGCAAGAAGCAAAGCTTTACTTCAAGAATTAAAAAAAAAATCACATATGCCAGGGGTTGAATTGTGTCCCCCTGAAAAGACTTGTTATCCTATACATGCGAATGTGGCCTCGTATGAAAAAAGGGTTTCTGAAGATCTCCTCTTAGCGAGTAGGAGGCCACACTGGAGCAGGGTAGGTCCCCACCCAGTCACAGAGGTGTCCTTATAAAACAGGGAACAGAGAGATGAAGATGCAGCTACAAACCAAGAACCACCAAAACTACCAGAAGCTGAGCAAGACCACAGAAAACTTCCTCTGAAGCTTTTTGAGCATGGTCATTATCAGGACTTCTAGAATGTCACCTGTAATATGCTGTGGACTTAACCATAAGAAAGAATTTCTCCACACCCTTGTTTATTGCTGCATTATTTACAATAGCAAAGAGATGGAAGAAACCCAAGTGACAATCAACAAACAAATGGATAGAAAAATGATGATATATCATATGATGGAATACTATGCAACACTGAAAATCAAGGAACTCATAAAACATTACACAACATGGGGACCCTGGAGCACATCATGCTGAGTGAAATATTTCAGTCTTAAAAGGGCAATTACTGCATAGCACTACTATTATAAAGCAGGTCAGACAGAGTGGACAGATAATTACCATTGGCTTAGAACAGATGAAGGAAAGAACTGTTTAAAAGGAAGATACAATTAGGCACTATAAGTATGACAAAAGCCCAGAATAAGAGGTCTATCATTGGAAAGAGGACTGGGAGAGAGGAGGTAGGTAATTGTACAACAATGAATGATATTTTAAAATGTTAACTGGGGGAGGGGGAAAGGACGTGGGGGGGTAAAATGTGCAACAATGAATGAATGAAAATCTAACTTCTCTGTAAATGTTAGTTAAAATTACAATTAAAATAAATTAAAAAAATAATTTCTCAATAGGTTTTCTCTACCATAATGGATGCCCACGGTGGACAGCATTTGACAGAACTCTCAGTTTATGATGGGTTTGGAAGCAGGAGTGGCATCCACTTCCTAAACCACATGCCTCTGGGAATTCTATAAACTTGTTGAAACAACCATAGTTATCCAAAGACTTCAGGTATTTTGTCCATAGAGTCTCTATGAGTCGTGATCAACTCAAAGGCAATCAACAACAATCAATCAACAACAACCACCACCACCTTGTTCAATCCACTGACAATATTTTAAACCCTTAACTGCTTTGTTTCCATTGCCTGATCAGTACTAACAGGAATATCATTCATGTCACACATTGCTTCCTTGAAGCTTTATCATCAGTACTCCCGTAAAATGGAATTTTAAAAATTTCCTTCTGCTAAATTAAAAAAAAAAAATGAAGTTGGGCCTTTAGAGAAAACTGGAACCAGAATGGCCCTGCCGACACTCTGCGCTCAGACAACCAGCGTCTAGGATGGTAAGGCCATGAAACTTCTGTTCTGAGAAGCCACCAATCCCTGGCATTCTGCTATGCCAGCCCTCAGAACTCAATACACTGCTCCTTAAATAAAATTTGCAGAAAGGATAACACGGAAATTTTACAAAGAGCTCTGAAAAGAAATGCCAGCACAGTCTGTAACATGGCTCATTTGGCAGATGCATTATTGCGATGCAGTGAGTGACTTAATAGGGTCCTTCTAGTCAGAGTCCTGTAACTTCCATCAAATGACTGGGGTGGGGGGTGGGGGTTGTTGGTGTGTTGTAAAGTTGGAACTAGCTCGTAGGTGACCCTCCAGGAGGTTTCCAGAGGCTATGAATCACACAGGAGACTTCCCATCATTTTCCCAAGGAGCAGATGGTGGATCTGAACTACCAGCCTTTGGGCTGGCAGCACACCTCCTTACCATTAAACCACCAGAGCTCCCTTACTGACTGGGTAGGACTATGCAATAAGATGTTTGGGTCCACCAAGGGGATGGGAAAGCTTCCTAATATTGTTGGTGAAGTACATGGCACCCTCGTGAGTGCCATGCAAATGAAATGCACTGAACCTAAGAAGGAGCTCATGTGGCCGTGTGGGTAAGAAACTGTACAGCCAACCTAAAGGCAGGTGGTTCAAATCAACCACCTCTTTAGGAGAAAGATCTGCACTCTCCTCCTGTGTTATTTAAAGGCCTGAAAACTAGCTGGACTTGGTTCTTCTCTACAGCACATAACCACAACTGCAAGGGGACTGGTCAATTTTGCCGTCCAGCTTAAAGTAAGTCATCCCAGAGGCAGTGAAGGAGTGGCCACCATCACCAAGAAAGAAGAGCTAAGAGTGGAGCACATCCTTTAGATCAAGGATCCTTGTGCTGAGAACCTCCTGGACTCAAATGACAGACTTGTGACACCAGGGCTGCCAACAGACCTCAAGAAGCAGTGGCACAGAAATGGCAACAGTAGAGCCTGAGACTATCAGGAGACGGCATGATGGGCTTCCTGACCTGTGGAGCAAGACAGCTATGGGCCACAAGGCAGAAGCTTGCTAGAAAAGTGGAGAAGCACTAGGGGAGCTGGGCTTGCTGACCCAGGGACAAGACAGGAAAGGACCTCTGGGCTGAGGACCTCTGAGCTGAAGCTTACAGGCAAAGCAGAATGCCTCGGGGCACTCAAGGAAGAGCTAAAGAGCTTTGGAACACTTACTCAAGGCTGAGGGGCTAAAGAGAGAGGCCTGACTGCAGGAAATCTGAGAAGGGAGTGTCCTGACCAAAGAAATGTATACTCAATCATTCCCAAATCTGACCTGTAACCTGTTACTTGTCCAATAAACCCCATAATTGTAAGTATTATCTTTTGTGGTCATTGCAGAGTGAATTCTCAAACCCAACAGAGAAGATGAAAGTGCAGTGAAAGTGTCTGTTAGGATTATAACTGGTAAAAAAAAGGCTGGAGAGAGGAGGTAAATTTGATCTCCACTTCACAGGAATGAGCTTCAAACTGATGCTGATGGTAACTGTCTTGCCTCCAGCAAAGTTGAGGAGGTCAGGCACTACCCTCAAGCCATATTCACAATGATAAACACTATATATAATAGACAAGAAGAAAAGTCTAGAAGGAAACACCATCTGTTAACAGTGGCTACTGCTGAGGAATAGGACTGGGGTGGGCATTGGGAGAAGTTTTTTACTTTTCACTTACAGACCCTGAAATATTATTTGTTTCTTAGAGCATAAACTATTTTTCTCTGGAGAGTTTACCTGTAATGCCCACACTGGTCATTTTAGGATTAATTACTATTTTAATTGTATTTACAAGCTCTTTTCCACTAAAATCCACCACTGTTGAGTCGATTCCAACTCAAAGAGGCCCTACAGAACAGAAATGAAGGGCTCTACTGGGTTGACAAGGCTATGCTTGGCCCTTACAGAGCAGACTGCCACATCTATATCTTGCAGAGTGTCTGGTAGGTTCAAACAGACTAGTTAATATACTAGTGCTTAATCATTGTATCCCTAAGGTTGCTTCTCCCCACCACCATACATTCAAACCTCAACATGACAATTAAAAACAACCAGGAGAGGATAACATTGACAAATGGGACCTTCTGAAGACTAAGTCCCTGTGTGCGTCAAAAACTTTACCCAAAAGAGTGAAAAGAAAAACTACGGACTGAGAAAAAAATATTTGGTAATGCCATCTCAGACAAAGATCTCATAACAAAAGGTTACAGAATCCTACAGGGCCTCCACAAGAAAGAGACTGATAACCAAATCACAAAATGGGCAAAAGACATGGAAAGACTTTTCACAGAGGAAGACATTCAGATGGCCCATAGACACATGAAGAAATGCTCAAAAATCAATGGCACCAAGAAAGATGCAAATCATCTCTAACCCAAATCACTATGGGATCCCATCTCCCCTCAGTGGCAACAGCAAAGTTTAACAGGAGAACAAGCAATAAATGTTGGAGAGGATGTGGAGAGATTGGAACTCTCATACACTTATTGCGGGATTGTAAATTGGAACAAAGACTCTGGAAGGTAGTTTGGCATTTCCTCAAAAAGCTGAACATAAAAAAAAATAGCTGAACATAGATATTCCATATGATGCAGCTAGTCCACTGCTAGAAAAATCCCCCAAGGAAAATAGAACAGAGACATAAATGGAGTTTGTACACCTACATTCATAGCAGCATTGTTTACAATAGCAAGAAAGTGGAAACAGCACAAATGTTCATCAACAAACAAATGGATTAAGAAACTGCAGTATATTCACAAAGTAGAATACTATGTAACACTAAGTAGCAATGATTTCATAAAATACAGAAGAGTCTAGAAAGGAATTAAGCTGTGAGAACTAACTCAGTCTCATAAAGACAAATACTGTAGAAAACCATTACTGTGAAAATAGCAGGACAACTAGTAAGACGTTTGCAAAAGCCTAAAAGGGTTCAGAGAGGGGAGCGGTGGGTGCAGAGTGTGGGGAAAATCACTGGTATGACAGAGTTTGGGGGTCAGGGGGAGGGGCTGAAGAAATGAGGAAAGATCCACTGGGAACCTGAAAAGATGGGGTAATAGAAGGTAAAAATAAGATCAATGGTGACTGATTTTATAAAACACAACGTATCTGAAAGATCATATGAAACACAACGTGAGGCAAGCTCTGGTGGCTTAGTGGCAAGAAGGTGCACTGTGATCCCAGACGTACTGGGTTCAAATCCACCAGATGCTCTGCTGACGGAGGGACAATCTCCTCCTGTACCAGTCAGATCCGATTTGACGGTACACATATAAAAAGTAATAAAATAAAAAAAGAAACACAACGTGAATGAAGGAATGAATGTGTACATTGTCCACACAATGTACATGAGTAAAGCACAATGTATATGAATTC